GTGGCCTCATCGAACTGGCAGCTTTTGGAGTCCGTGGACGCTGCACTGCCGGGGGAACCCGAGCACTTTGAACCACATGAGATCAAAGAGCCGGAGATGGATGGTGAGCTCATTGACGCCATCCTCAAGCCCTTTTTGGATCGGTTGCCTGGTGTTTCCGACGAGCGTGACATTGACGAGCCGGACGCTGACGAGGAGATTGTCTTCAGAGAACCCATTGTCGGCGGCTCAGCATCAATGTTTAGCCAGCGGAAGCTGCGCTCCCATCTGATGAACAAGATCCATGCTGTGGACTTCAGATTGGATGGTTCTGGCGTAGTGAACATCTTGGACACCGACGTCACACGTGACCCTGCCAAGCTCGAACTTCGGCAGGAATCCATGCAGCAGACCGAAGATGGTGCAGTCATCATTCGTCGCTTTGACTTGACGGATGAGGAGAAGCATCGTCAGATGGAAAGGGAGATCTTTGAGGAGCCCAAAACCGCCGAAGAGAAGCTTCGCGCGGGTGACCCTGCTGCCACTGTCCAGATCATGTCGAAGGCCAAGTCGAAGGCGGCTTCCTCATCCGAAGCGGCATCATCTTCGGCCGGCATCGCACAGGTGATCGGGGACACTGTCAGCCAGTTCATCAAACCCAAGATGAGGGATCAGGCTACCATGATTCAGCCCAAGCCTGCTCCGCGGCTCCCAAAGGTTTCAACGGCGACGGGAACGTCTCCTATGGCGTCCCCAAAGCCCAGTCCGCCACCGACTCCGAAGAGTGCAACTGGATCCCCCAAGCCGGAGCCACCTGCACTCCCAGCGGAAGCTGCGGACCATCCTATGCCCAAAGCTTTGCCTTTTAAGGCGCCGCCTGCAACGTTGACAACAACTTCACCCAGGGCACCTCCGCAGAAGTCATCGGCGCCTGCAGCTGCGTCTTCGTCGGAGCCTGCCCCGAAGATGGCCAAGAAGGAGCCGCCTATGGCAAGTGCTCCTCCCCCGGGAACGGGTGGACCTCAGCCTCCGGCTGATCCGCCCTTGCGACCACAGGGATATCCCAAGTGGTACTTTTTCTCCCCGGGAACGGGCGAGCGCAGGGAATTCACCGTCCGGTGTACTGACCTGCCAGGCCTGAGGGACCTTGGAAGACTCAGTCATGACGATTTCAAGTTTTCGAAGAGGGTGACCGGGCTGCTTCGAGGCTACGATCACAAGTTCCTCGAGGCGCACCACCGCCACATTCCTCCTGAATTTGATGAGGAGCTCTACTTGAACTTTGAGTCCATGTACGCGTACCTCCGAAAGCGGCATCGTGCTCAGCTTTCGCGACAGGACCTATACCTGATTCTTCGAACTCAGGACAGGTTCATGTGCCGCATTCAGGCTGGAATTGTCGGGGAACTGACAACCATGGACATGCCGTATCGCATCACGCATGTGAAGGCGTGCCAAGGTCACGACCAGTCCCTCATCGACAAGGTGGGAACGGCTCCATTGGTCAAGCAAATCATCTCGCTTGACTACCAGTTCACGGTTGAGGACTTGAAGAAGGGATTCTATCCAAGGGTCCCCATTTATCCTCACCTGGCGGAAGCCGAGGTCTCAGAAGAGTTTAAGGTTATTTACCATTACACTTCATGGGACTCCCTCCAGCAGATCATTTGCACGGGAATTTTCCCGGGGGCCACTTCATGCAAGGGTCATGTGTATATGACCCGCCATGCGCCTTGGGAAATCGAAGGCAAGGATCCTGGTGTCAGGACGAACCGACCGCTGTGCATCGCGATCGACACCGATTGTGCTTTGCACTATGGTCTTCGCCTGGTGGAAACCTTGGCCGGTGCACTCATCACTGAGGACTGGGTGCCCAATCATTGCCTCATCTACGCATTCGATTGCGAGAAGTCGCAATACCTTTGGGCGAACCATGGCTACAACGGGGTGAAGAAGTACCTTCGGCAGAAGGCCTCCGAGAACGCTCTCACTTGGCAGGAGAACGAGGCTCGGAAGGGCACTCCCAACTATGACGAACTTGAGAGGTACGAGATTTCGGACCTGGAGGTGTTGAAGAACATGTTCGTGAATGAGTACGATCAGTGGAAGGATGTCATCACTCTGCGACGTCCGCTCATTTACAAGGAAGTTCCGACACCATATCCTGTCGTCGATGAGTTGCTGCCCAAGTTCAAGCAAAGGCCGCTCAACTTCACCAATCTCCTCTGTGTGGCACGCAAGCCGACGGCAACAGCTGCTGGCTTCGACATCGCCCCTGACAACGCGCGGGAACGCCGTTCTGATCGCTTCGATCAGGAGGCATTTGACCCATCCGCGGAGGGGAACCTCACGCGCTGGCGGTATGTTTCAATGCTGGCAATGCCGGAGTTGACATGCCCCCGGTGCAGGAAGATTTTTCCTGAGGGGATGTTGGTTTGCCTTGCATGCGGCTTGTCGCTGGCGACAATGTCCGACATGCGCCGTGCGTGTCAGGTGTTCCGCCTGGAAGAGTTGGCCGAGAAGCTGGGCTTCGAGCTGACGTTGGATCTTCTGGGTGACGACGATGTAGCAGGCACCACTCAAGGTGCCAAGCAGATCAGATCTGCTGCTGCAGTCCTCAAAAATCACGCCCGCTCATACATGAAGCAGGCGAGAAAAGCTGGACTGACTTTGCTACAGCGTCTGGGAACGGACGCCCATTACGCCTTTAATTGTGCGGTCCAAGACCTTACACCTCGGTGTATGCATTGGATTACAGTTCTGGGCAATGTGGTGCTTCCCTCCATCAAGCGCACGCGAGAGGAGATCCGAACTGGAAAGATTCGGCAGTACAAAGCGCGTATGTGCATGGTCGCATACGAAGAGGAGCAGATGAAGACGATCATCGTGGATGATCATGTTCTCATCTGGTACAAGAACCGCTTTTACAGAGCCAACCAGTTCGCGGCCGCCTATGCCTTGATCCCGGTGGCCGAGCGTTTTGAGGTTTTGAGCGTCGCCAACACGACGTTCCAATCCCTTGCGTTGTCCAAGCAGGATGTGTATGCCGACATTCTCAGCTATGTCGAGGACATCTTGCGCCCCCTCACGGAGGCAAAGGACACGGAAGGCGGAAGCCGACCCGTACCTGCAACAAGACAGCAGAACCCGGATGTCACCAGGTCCTCGCGTCCTGGCTATGGTTCTCATCAGGGGCCCACTCATGGCTACAGTCAGCAGGAATGGAATGACTACTACAATCAGTGGACTGACCAGGAGTGGGAAGATTGGCGCCGTCGAAATCAAGGCCACCAATACCGGGATCGACGTTGATCGGGCTATCGCTGAGGCACCGCGGAGGGGAACCTCTCGCCTGGTGGATTTATCTTCATCCGAGGCGGGGCAGTTTTCTCTCAATGTGAGGTGTCGCACAGCGGAAGCTGTTGCCTTTTCGGATTTAATTCGGTTAGGCGACTAGCTTCATTTTGCACGCGTGGGTGAGCGATTCCACGATTATTTACAACACAAGTGTGCTAAGTCGGAATTTTTGCCAACTCAGTCAAGTTCACAAAAGTTTCATTAACGCTTTGAATGCATATAATTGAAGCAGGCATTTGGCACTCATCTTATTCTTGCCATGATTCCTTCTTGCATAGCACACGGCTGGTAGTTGCATGAACCGCAGAGCGGAAGCTCTTGCCTTGCGAAGATAAGGCAGCTTTGAAGCATTTCTGAAAGCTTCCCTGCGGGTTCACATCGAAACCGAATTCAGCATTTTGCTTTAATTCATTTTGTTTGCTTCGGCATGCTCCCGGGCGTCCACAAGAACTTTTGATGCCGCGTGGAAACGCTGGCCTTTGTAATGGGCCACACTTCAACACGTTTGCATGTTCGACCACAAGCCCGGTGGAGCCAAAATGAAACTGAATGCATTCGGCCGAATTGACTTGCATTGCATCCGTCTTTCAATGTACTTGGAGTCCGATTGAATGGATTGCATTCGCATTTGCACTTGTTCGTCAATCATTGCACACCTGAGGTGAAGACGTGGAAGACTTTGAAAGGTTAGGCGACGGTCGGGTTTGGGTTTGTTTTGTTTTCTGGTTATGTTAACTAATGGCATCCCTAACTAGACTGTACATAGCCTAATTTGCAGCTTCACTACCCGGGCGGTAACTACACTGCACGGGGGGTGTTGTTGCACAGTCTTCATGCATGTATACATACTTTTCACCTTATAGATTGTGTTGCATTGGCTCAAGAAACATTGCTGCGGCAGGGTGTAGTATCTGTACTTATATCGTGGTCTGTTGTGGTTGATCACTTGTTTCTACAATATATATATATATATGTATGTAGATGAAAGAAATTCTCAAAGCACAAGTGTCCATCGCAAGCCGCTGATGCCATTGTCGTTGCCATTCATTGAAGCCAGCACCATTTGTAGAGAGAGAGAGAGAGGGCGACAGCTATTTTTATATGTATATACCCTCCAGTAAATTAACATAGACCCTGAAAATAACCAATTTTAATTGGAAACGCATCTTTCCAACCCCTATCTGGCAGGGTCTATGTTAATTTACTGGAGTGTATGATATATAGTTATGCTGGTGTATGATATTATGATGCACTGGACAGAACATGTGTGTATTATGAAAATAAATGTGCAGTGATTATCCATGGGAATGCAAGGGAAACACAGATGCATTTTTGATCAAGGCACCCATATGCGCATGTGCAAGTGTTTACTATATATATATATGTACATATTTTTAAGGTCATACTTGAAGGGACAATCATGCAGCCTTATTTTGTTTGCCATAAACGATTTTTTGTTTGCAGGTTATCCCTTAAGCCATACATGTAATATGTTTTTCTTGCAATGTAGGAGAAAGTCATCTCAACCCCGATCTTACCAAACAAAAATACTGGGCACATTGGCACATCATGCAATTCTTCTCCTGGTCATCCAGCTCCTTGTCATCATCCAACCCAGCATCCAACCCAACCACCACTTGGAACCTCACCGTGGCTGACTCTCCATGGGCGATCCTGGCGATGGTGTGCCGAACCATCTTTGGCGAGTCATCGGCGAGAATGGATTGTTGGTGCGACAGGAGGTGCTCTGATGCTTCAGCATGTTATCCAAAAGGGACCATTTGAAGGGTGAAACTGCCATGCTATACCACAGTTTCAATCAAAACCACATTTCTGCTTGATGATCTGGGTCAATCCCAAAGATAGGCTACAAAATGGCACTTTGAATGGGGAAGATGGTGATCATGATTCAGAGCCATTCAAGTGGTGGTGGATGGTTGAATAGCATTTTTGTGCCTTTTTCATAGCGGGATCAAAGGTTTAGGGATCTGGCTAATCAGTTTGGTCATGCTATATTCTGGACAGCCAAATAGTGTGATTCACAGGATCCAAGTCATGAAAGGTGGCTATGTTCCAATGTTCCAACGTCTTGGGCTGGGGAAGCCTTGGTGGGGGAGTCATTAAGAATACAATTTTTGATTCGCTATTACAAGGGGTTATACTATGATAAGCCACAATAGAGATACCTATTATACTACCGATATGTTTTTTTGCATGGTATCTTGCAAGATTGGACATGTCAAGACTCATGGCCGATGGGGGTATAAGTATACGGTATAATTACCCTAAATCCATTGTTTGAACATCATTCTCAGCATCAAATGCACATTGGCCATGGAAACTCCCCTTATTTTGCAGACACACTCACATGCTTTTCTGGGCACCTGGGTCTTTTCCATCAGTTCTTCTGCTTTCATGAAGTCACATCATTCTCCACAAGACATGCCTTCAAACTATTTCAAACTAAGAGCCCCTTTGATGGTTCCTGAAGTGTGTTGTTATGTTATCTTATTTTATCGTATTGTCCATTCCTGTTTGCACTAATGATGCCAAATTGACTGACTCACCTCGTTTCATGAGTTTCAATCCGTAAATCCTGGAATTTAAAAGGGAATGCGGTATGATTTCCAGCCACCAATTTCAGCCACCAAAGCTGGGCCATTCCGCAGGCGGATTTGAAGAGTTCTGAGTTGGGCCGTCTACCATATGGAGCAGTTCTACTGCAGAAGGAGCCACGGTGATCTTACCTCGGCAAGATCTCGGTTTGCAGTATCTTTTGATGTGTCCCGTACTCAGGCGAGTGCGAGGGAACCATCATAATTCGGTTGGCTGCAGATGGTTTATTTTATTCATCTGTCTTGGTAGTGTTGCTCCATCACATTTTTGTGGGTCAAAGACACATTGTTTTGCTTCCAATAATAAGTTTGGTATGTAAACATGACCACGTTTGTAGGTCGTAGACTTATTTGCAAAATTTGTATGTCAAATAAATATTATTTAACATACCAAATAGATTCACATACTTGTTTCAGTTGATCAATTGCATTCCTTATTGTTCCCATACCAAGCCTGTTTTCCATCTCCAAAAATGGCACTATCATCCCCTATGTTCATCTTTTCGAGGCGTTGGATCCTTTCACCCATAGGAACGGCTAGATGTGTAAGATCTACTGTGTCCATTTTTAGGGACATATGATGTGCTTGTTTTTGTATGAATTCAAAATAAATCCAATAGATGCTATTTTGGTTAATCATGTCCCCATTTTTTTCGGCTTCAATCTCCATGTTTGTTGGTTGCCACCATGACTGTTCCTCCACCTCTAGGAGTTGCGTGGAGAGCGTTTGGGGTTTCAGCTGCTGCGCGGAGCCGGGCCACTGGAAGGCTACGTGTCGTTGAGGATCAAGGGAAAGGAGCGGCCTGCAGATTTTCCAAAACATGGTGAAGCTCTGGTATGTTCAATGGGGTAAAAATGCTGGATATAAATTCCCATAAATTCCCCTAATATTAAACATCCCCCAGATACGTCCAGAAACCATGGTTTGATACTACGAGATTGGAACACATATTTAGGACATTTTAGGACCATAGAGTCGTGGTGTTTAGTAATGTTTCGTCCTGATTGGTGTAAGGCCCCCCCCCAAACAATAGCTATACCCTCTTTAAAGTTGGGTGCCAGAAAACTCCTCCCCAGAAAAACACGATCCCGCATTTAAGTAAGGATTTCAATTGGCGACAATTGAATAATTGACATCTAATTGAAACTTGTTTTTTTTTGCCGATGAACTTGTGGTATTTGTAGTACTTGTAGTACTTGTAGTACTTGTAGTACTTTGTAAAAGGATTTTCTTTCTTCTCTTGGCCCCAGGATCAGCTCTGGAAAAGTTTGCTGCAATTGTGAAACCTGAGAACAAACCTACTAAAGTGAACTGGACCCTCTCATGGCCCAGTGCCTTGGAAATTTGTGTAAAAACTGTTCTATTGAGAACAGGGAGACAAGCAATACTGCATTTTTTTCAGAAAAACATGTTCAGATTTGTTTACACATTTTTTTTGACAAAAAATGGTCTCCCAAGATTTCTTGCCGCAATAGTGAACCTTCCAAACAATGCATGGGGGTTCAGCATAATTTGGAAAAAATTGCACAATAGCGAACCTAGCCACTAATCAGGATACAACATTATGAACGGTGGAATGGGATTTATTAAGACCCATAATTACGTTTCCTTTTCAGGATATCCAAACTTGGTCAGCTTGGTTGTGAAGAAGGGCTTTCAAGACCTTCTTGAAATAGGATAGCAAACTTTGTCCCAAGCAACAATAGCTTGGTGCCCATTTACATCCCCCAACACTTGGGGATGGCCATCCGTGGGCTATGCAGGTGCTCACATCGAATGTTGGTCCTGCTGTTGGTGAGTGAAATCCTTATTCTTTCCTGGTGAAATCCGATGTCCTTCCTGATGAAATCAACAATTTGGTAAATTCCAACGCGGAGAAAATGTCACTTTTGTTTTTGTTTTAGACCGAAGATATACTACATATATCATCATATATAATTACTGTATGTATGTGTATATATATAATTAGGTTCACGGAAAGGACATCCACAAATTTGGGAAGGTCCCATCGCTTACCACACGTTTGTACAATAATGATATATGGTAAACTTGGGGGGTATCGCTTGCAGGAAACTGCTACATTTATATATATATATATAATAAACAGAAATCAACGTCCAATTTGGGTATCGCTAATGTGGATATTAGAGAAATACAATGACATAACCTTGAAAAGGGGTATCGCTAATTTGGGAAGGTCCCATCGCTTACCGTGTGTTTTTAACAGTTTCCATCAATTTCCATAAACCAATGTCCGTCCAATACATATTTAGTATTGCCGGGGTTTTTGCGATGGCAATTATATATATATACACATTATATTCTGTACCGTACCCAGTTGAATTTTAATGACCAGCAGATGATTTGGTTCAGCAATATCAACCAGCCTTTTCCAAAATCATGGCTTACCAGCCTGGTCATTGGGAATGACGGCCATGGTGCCAGGAGCTACTCCAGAAGTGTTTGGTTCCTTTGGATCCTCCAGAAACACACGTCCCCAACGTGTCGATGGAGGCAGAAAAAAGCGTGACCGACGGTCGAAGTCGGTAAAAAAAAGCAGGGTCAGATGGAAGATGAGAAAGCAGCAGGTGATTTAAGGTGATATTTGATTATATATTGCATGTATTATATATATAATTAATTATATATGTTATGTTATACTATACTGTATATTTTTAATTATATCCATAGAACGTGTTTGAAGTTGAATGGATGTGAACACATTTGAGATCTTGAGGCACAACAAACATCATCCTCTACTACCTGGAATCACTATGATTATGTTGTGCAGTAGGTCAGGACGCAACACTCCGTACAATATCCAGCACATGCGCCTTTGTTTGTCATGCACAGACAACCATATAGAATCACACACTGCACGTTAAAACAATTCTAGATCGAATCTACAGTAATGGATGCTATGTATGTATGATATGCAGATATGCAGATACTCAGTTTTTTCGTAGACATGAACATGTCCTGTGAGACGAGCTGGCAAGGTTGAAATGCCAACACACTGCTTGACCAGTCTGTGTCTTGCCGGGAGGTTGGTGAGGTTGGTGGCATCCTGGAGAACAAACGCAGTTCTGTGACCGCCACCAACCATCCCGAAGCCTTTTGTTGGGCAATTTTCTCTTACCCAAATCAAATGGTTTGTGATTGGGGACTTTGTTGGGGGTTTACCACAGCTCGGAGATCTTTTTGGATGGGCCCAAGGAATCAAGCTGTAAGTCCACTGCTTCCCGGAGAAATGCCAAAACATGTTGCAGAACTTGAAATTGGCAATTGAAGTGGTCCTCAATTTTTGGATAGCCAATATAGTTCATATATGTTCATATCATCCACTTCATGATCGTGTTTTCCGGTCGCGACGATCCAAGTGTGTTGTTTTCGATATTTGCACATATGTATATATATATATTATACAAATCATCCCATATTTGCAAATCTCCATACAGCTGCTTTTTTGAAATAGACTAATTAACCCTAAAATCCGAAAGTCCTATGCGTTTATCCTCATGTTTGAATAATCATAGCACATGTTTTTGGTATCGTGACACACCCACAATATTGTTGGTGACATATCACATTGTATTCCCCTGACATTCTATACTATATATCCCTTTTCTATCGCAGTTAATTCCCATTATATCCCAATTATATTAATGATGTCACCATCATCATCATCATCATCATCATCATCATCATCATATACATAAATACATGAAGAATGAATATGTATATAGATATATATGTATACATACAACATATAAAATATATACTGTATGTATATATATATATATATACATAAGATTATCATCCATCAAGGGTAAACCATCCCCCTATATTATCCCACTGATTGTTGCTAACATCTCCGAGTTTGGACTTCCAACGCGTGGCCAACTTCCGGGACCTCGCGGAGGGCCTCGGCGCGCGGGTCGCGTTGCGCCCTGGGAAGCTCTTCCGCACGGGGCACTTCGCGGCGGCCCTTCGCGAGGCGCAGCGTGCCCATACGTCATGTTTGTGGAGTATAGGTACCCTCTGGTAAACTAACATAGCTATTGAAAATGGCCATTTATAGTGGATTTGCCATTAATAGCATGGTGATTTTCCATAGTTACGTTAGTTTACCAGAGGGTCACGGTTATTATAGTTGTGTTAGTATATTATAATATATATATATATGTGCACTTTGATACAAATGGTATGGTGTTGTTTCTTTTTAGTCATTATTAATAGATCATTCTAGTATATTATGACTTTGTTGCATTGTATGGTATACACATTCTTCTCCCGGATAATCTGGAAATTGACCAACAAGCACCAACCACTCCAGATATTCCAACCGCATCGGTGACTGTCAGGATCTTGGGCGTTTGGACGCTTTGGGCATTCGAACCTGCGTGGCTTGGCACCGGGACGAAAGATCGCCACGTGAAAAATCGAATGCAACGGCACCAGGTGGATCTGAGGGACGGGCTCGACTTCGAAGGGGCTGATGCTCCAGTGTACGTGACATGGCAGGTAAGTCAGGGGGGATCGTCACCGTTGTTTCAAGACTAAGTCATGGTTGTTCATGACGACTGGATGATTTGGGGTATACCCATGACAGCTTTTCGATGATCCCACGGCCATGGCCAAAGTCCACCCAGTTTCAGTCGCGACAATCAAGGCCACTCGTTGTTGGCGTTGAATATATGTTTGTCCATCCTTGTCTTTCGAAGAAATAGATCACAGTTCGCTAAACAATGACGGATGACGGATGACACTTACATGATGTCCCAAGTTTGATGATCCAATCCGAAGAAATGTTTAACATGGGGGTGCCAGGCATCCAGAATCACCAGCCCAAACCAAAAACCATATCCAACAATTTACCAGAATTAGGTTGTATAAACATCCAGACACCATCCCACAAAGGTGTTGTTGGGTATTGCGTTTACCACATGATTAAACTTTATTGAACTGCCAAATTGATTCCAAATTGTATGTTCACCCTCCAAGTACCCCTCAAATTTGGTCAAAGTGCGAAAATCATGGGGTAGACGTCCATTTTTATGGGTACTTGGAGGGTCCGGGTAATCAGATTGTTTGATTCACAAAATTGGATGAATATGATCATCATGATGATGAAGAAGAAGAAGAAGCAGATGATGACTGGAATAGCAATCAGGAACACCCTATAACATCCTATGCCATCTAATGACTATATAAATGTCCCAGATGGACATGTTGATTGATATACCCTCTGGTTATGACTAACAGTTTGCCATTTTTTATACATGGCCCATAGAAATAGATGATTTTCCCATGGCAAAACCTCCATTGATGGTTGGGATTTTCCATGGCACGACCTGGATGTCCTGGATTCCCAGGACATCTTTCCTCCGCGACCCCGAAGTCCACGGAGTGTCCCTTCAGCGGAGCCGGGGACACGGCGGCGACTTTGGTGTCCCTTCAGCAGCTGGGAATATCAGCAGATGGGGGTGCCAAAGCCGGTTTTTTTCAGGTTTCAACAAGTAGCCAGCAACCTTTGAAAAGCTAGAAATAGTATGAAATAGTATGAAATATGCCCTTCAGTAATCAAACATGGCAATTGAATATCCACCGCAAATGGAGCATAGTGGAGCTTTTAGTGGGAAAATCAACTATAAATTGATGATTGTCCATTGCCGCCTTTGATTACCGGCGGGTAACGGTATACTTCAGCAGGATTTACAATCCCAGGACCAAACCATTCCGAGGCTATTGTCAATCATTCAAAATTTGGCTATATGTTCCCAAATTAGTGACCCAACCCATTGTTGATTGGTTAACACGTGGGATTATACTACCTGGTTTCCTGATGGGTTCTATGTATTATATAATAGCCCATGAGATGGGAAACCCCTTTTGCACCAACCATTACAGTAGTAAGGAATGTTCCCTTATGTTTTCGACACTGCTCCATTATAGCCAATAATTAACTATATACCCCTAGTATCCCCTGTATATATAGTATTATAGTATCATCCAAATTGTTTCGTTCTCGATTAGCTATTCAACCCTGCTTTGTAAGCCCCCTAGGTAGGTTATCCCAGTTGTAAGAGGATTATCTCATTTACTAGGTGGAATGATCCTCCAAATGTGGCCTGTTTACCATCCATTCGAGTGTGTACCAGGGCACTCATAGAATATTTGCAGGGGGGTAGATTCCAGATGGAAAATTTGACCCCATGCCATACACCCTTTTCGGAACCTGTCTGGGTATGGTTTGTGATACAGCGCCCCTCTGTGAAAATTGGCTAAAGAGCGTTTGAGAATCCCAGTGTGTTGGCTTGGTACACCATATCTTCACCATGGCTGTGAGTAGCTGAACACCGGCCAAGTACACGACCATTTCATCCAACAAAAACTGTGTGATTTTTAGTCAAAAGGGTGAAATGATCCATACTCATGGAGATTGGGCCACAGATGTAAGTTCTATGGAAGTGGGTTATAACTTGGAAGCCATTATCCTTCGACCCAAAAGTCTCGGCTGTGATCATCCGCCTGTCACTGGAATTATGGTCAACAAGGGGAATCATCTCCAAGTGGATCGAACTTGTCAGGTTGATCAAGCATCCAATGATATACAGTATCATCATATCTATATATGTTTATATATAAATACATATATATATACACATTATACAACATTTTCCTTTCCCAGGACATTCCCAGCACGCTGCAGCATGCTGCGAAGGTAAAGATCTGAAGCTTCGCAGCTGGTCTTCGGAGGAGAAACTAGGCCTGGTGCCGCAGCACCACCGACGCGCTTGGCACAGCTGGTGGTACCGCGGCGATGGACAGGCGGCGGAACCAGCGGGCAACGTGGGCGAAGGGTGGAAAAAGCATGGCAAACGGTGATAGCCAGAGAAAATCAAACGCAGCACCCTCAGTGGACCCATTCAAATCCGGTAGCAAACGAGAATTGTGGGGGTAGGAATTCCTTATGGGTCAAGTGAGAGTCTATAGGTACATGGTAATTAACTACATGTAATTGCTGTGTTTTGGAAAATAAGTTTCCTGCAGGAAAAAAATACGATAAGTTGAGCTACACCATGCCATACCCATCCTCTAATTATTCATTGCACACACACACGTATATTAATGTATATTACATTACATGGCAAATTGTGTGTGTGTTTCCGAGTTGGTGAGTTGGTGAAGGGTTGCACTGTGATTGGTTTGTTGTGAAACATGAGCCATTGCCTTAGGTATCAGCGATACGTGCGCCTGTTCATGGAGAAGAAGGAGCGACCGAACCGACCACCGAGTCAACCCAAGGGGGTGTGAAAACACAACAAAAGAGAAAAAACATATAAACCTGACTACAGTAAACAGCCCTATGTATTATGTATAATACTTACAATATATATATATATATACATGTATTACAGTATATCCACATACAGTGTAAGATCCCCCCAAACACACATATATATATATATAGTAAATTTTAAGATTGATAGAAACCATCCAACATCTCATCCTATTTTCTGGCCAGGTGGAGGTCAACCAAGCCTCCAATCTATGCGCCCTGAATCGTGCCATCTTGTTGGTCAACTCGGATGAGGTGGGCAGGGTCACGGCCAGATCACGCTGGGGACGGGTCAGAAGTTATCATGGACCCCCCGTGTTGTCATACATTGACACAATAGTTCTTTAATAATGATTTAGAACATGAAGCTGAAAGTGATTTGGTTCTTCTGTGCAGTTTCGGTTCGTGCAGAGGTCTTGAAAGCAATGAAAGCACTGAGTGAGGTCCCTTGGCAACGGGGATTGGGGTCCAAGGACCAAAACAAGTGTACCAGATTGTACTGGCTGAGGGCACAGGTCAGGTCAAAGCTAACGTACAGCGAAATGCGGCCTTGTCCGCGCCTTGGCATGTCATTTGTAGACAAACCGACACAAACCGACCCATACTGACCCCAGTTGACTTCGCAGGGCCGATTTTTGTTGGCGAATGCTAAGGAGAAAAACTACCCTGTGGCCTTTGGCTGCGTGGCAGGACAGCAACTTACCAACCAGTTGCCTAGTTGCTGGCAAGGGAAAGGGCCTAGGTATCACGATTCGTCCATTGCTAATAGTGAACAGACGTGGCAATGGAACATCATCATTTTGTTTTTTTCAAATCAGTATGAATTGTGTCAGATCATCATAAAGAGGTGATTTTTATTTTCCAGCTTTGATTAAGGGTTGCTCCAACTGAGTATACGTAGGTAAATTATGGCCACAATGACAAGGATGGTCATTTCATGTAATTTCGTCATTTTACCTCTAATTATTTATATATATATATAATATAATTACGCAATTTACCCCGCAAACGTACCTGGGGTGTTTGGAGTAACCCAGTGATTGCTGAAGGGTGCACCATGCACCATTGCCCAGCTACATTTGACGACACCGGAGGGTAGCCACAAATAATGGTCGTTATTTATCCGAAAAAAGTATTGGACATGTTCTTCATGGGGAAATCAACGTTTTGAAGGGGAAGTCGATGACTTTTGAAACAGTAATTTCATGTAATGTCCCATGAAAATGGACATGGAAAAACAATGTTTGAGATGATCATGGATGAGACCCTTGCAATAACATGTTTTAATCATCATGTTGCTCCATCCATTGTCGTCCAATTATATCATATATGTTCAACAATTATCATGCATTACAGTATATTATCCATATATCCCGGGGAATCTTTCCAGTTTATATCCGTGTTTCATTTCCATGTGCAGGAAAAGATCGCACTGGTCTTTTGGCTTGCCTGGTTCTAAGTGCTTTGGGCGTCGACAAGGACTTGGAGCTGCTGAAACTTTCTGAGCCAAGTATCTACTATATAATATATATGTATATAAGCTTTTGCTGTATATATGGCGCGTGAATATATATAAAACAATATAATATAATATAATTTAATTTACAACATAATTTAATATAATATAATACAATATAATGTAATATAATATAAAATAAATAAGATATAATATATAATATTTAATATATAATATATAATTAATATATAATATATAATATATAATATATAATATATAATATTTTCAAATATTTAATATAGTATAATATATAATACAATCTATAATATAATATAGAATATAATATATTATATAATAGAAAATATAATATAATATAATATATAATTTAATATTTAATATAATATAATGTAATATAATTTGATATAATATAATATGTTATAATATGATATCGTATAATATAATAAAAGACAATATAGCATAATATAGTATAATATAATATCATACCATATACTAAAATATAATAAACTAGAATACAAAACCTGATGTATAATATGATATAGTATAATATAATATAACATAATGTAATAATATAATATAATATTTAATAAAATATAATTTAATATAATATAATAAAATATAGTAAAATATAATATAATATAATATAATATAATAGAATATAATAGAATAGAATATACATACTTACTTGTGTTATGTATATATATATATATATAATATGTATATATTAATACATAATATGCATATATAATATCGTATAATAATACATTATATATATTAATATATATATATATAACTATATATATATATACACTACAATTTTGTTTAACCGTGCAATAGGTTGAACAGTGACTCATAGTTGTCCACCCAGTTTCTGCTCACGGTCTTAGATTTGATATTGAATTCAACATGCCTTCCTATGTTACAAGACTCTGCGCTACAACAGCACCGGAAAGCCTGGTCGAATGGTTGCACGTTGTGACCCACGGCAGGAAACCATCATGGCTGACTATCTCAAGACCAATTTGGCAGCGGAGCACATCAATGCATGTGTCCAGGCAATTTGGCCATGGCATATCCAGAGCTTTTGTCAGTCTCAGTCTCAGTCCTGAATTTTCGGGGTGTTTTTGAACAACGGGCAGGGTAGTATATTGGCAGATAAATTCCATAAATTTCTAGCGATAAATCGATCGATTGATCTAAGATAGATTGTTTGATTAGATTTGATAGATAGAATCGACAGATAGATTCAAGTGATAGATAGAAAAACAAAAAAAGCGACTGCTAGAAAGATATAGAATGATACGTAATATACGGATCAATGGACACATAGATCGCATAGATACTGGCAGATTGAAAAACAGAGATTTGTAAATAAATGAACCCATAGATAGATACTGTAGATAGATAGATTTGAATAAATTCAATTGGATTGAATTTAGATTAGACTAGATTGGACCAGATTAGATAGGTAGGTAGATTAGATTATTAGATTGGATGATGTAGATTCGACCAGGCTAGATTAGATGAGATTCAGATTAGATTAGACTGGACTAGATTCGATTAGACTGGACTAGATTCGATTAGACTGGACTAGATTAGATTAGACTGGACTAGATTGGATTAGACTGGACTAGATTAGATTTGACTAGATAGATAGCTAGATAAAAAGATAGATAGGTAGATAGATAGATAGGTAGATAGATAGATCGATAGATAGATAGATAGATAGATTAGATAGATTAGATAGATTAGATAGATTGGATTAGATAGATTGCATAGATTAGATTAGATTGGGTTAGAAAAAATTAGATAGAGTAGATAGATAGAGTAGATAGATAGATAGATAGATAGATAGATAGAGAGAGATAGATAGATAGATAGATTAGATAGATAGATAGATAGATTAGATAGATTAGATAGATTAGATAGATTAGATAGATTAGATAGATTGGATAGATTGGATAGATTGGATTAGATAGATTACATAGATAGATTAGATTAGATTAGGTTAGAATAAATTAGATAGATAGATAGATAGATACATAGGTAGGTAGGTAGGGAGAAAGATATATCTATAGATATGTAGATAGATTTATAGATATGTAGATATGTAGATGTATATTTATATATGTAGATGGATGGATGTATGGAAAAATAGATGTATAGATGGATAGATGTTTAGATGTATAGATGGATAGATGGACAGATATATGGATATATGGATATATGGATAGATGGATAGATGGATAGATGGATAGATGGATAGATGGATAGATGCATAGCTGGATAGATGGATAGATGGATAGATCGATAGATCGGTAGATCGATAGATCGATAGATTGATAGATAGATCGATAGATAGATAGACATATAGATAGATAGATAGATATAGGTAGATATGTAGGGTGTTGAATAGAAACACATTTGCATATATATATACATACAATATTTATATATATACATACATACCTACATACCTACATACCTACATACCTACATACATACCTACCTACCACCTACCTACCTACCTACCTACCTACCTACCTACATACATACATACATACATACATATAAATACATATAAATACATACATATATATATACATACATACATACATACTTATGTATATAGAGCTATTGATTGATTGGCTGGCTGGTCACTGATTTATTCATCGTGTATTTGTATATCCGTCTCTTCAATTAAACAAATCAACAGAACCCTCGGCACATCTGGCTATGCCAAATCAACGTGGCAAGGGATATTCCTGCCTTGTCAGGCTGGCTTGGACAGTTTCCTTAAAACCGTCGTCTGATTAGTCAATAGATTGACTTTTTGCCATATACACAGATAAATACTTATTATACAGCCATACATATGTGTATATAGGCATATATAAGCAGTGGATAGTCGGGGAATACGTCGAGCAAGTTTTCACTTATCTTTTGGGTATCCACAGGTTGGTATGGCCTTGTGGTGGAAGCAACTGGAGTCGGAAGACCCGCGGCGCTTTAAGATGCTGCAAAGGAACGGACAGGTGGGACCCGGCGCATCTATCCAAACGTATCCAGAACAAACGAACACGATATGTATTTTTATGTGTGTATACATATATATATATATATGTATGTATGTATGTATGTGTGTGTGTGTCTGTGTGTTATAGAATGTTGCCAGTATTCACCAATATTGTATAAGAACAAACGTGTTGTCATGTTTTAACAATGCTGACTGATACATATCAGGTATCATTAGATAATTTCTCTTGATATCAAACTATGTTAAGTAAGGATGAACAAACATGATCTAAATGATGTTGACTGATAAACCATATCAATGACAACCAATATCAATGATATTCCCAGGTCTACCCGCTGGACTACGATGCGTCATGGCCTGGCCTGAAAGGTGGGAAATGTTGTTCCATGTTCAATGGGAATTAGATAGGATCAATAGGTGAAATGTTGTAGTCCTGGCCATAAATTACTATAAATGTTGTGAAAAATGTGAAATGGTAATTGAGTGATACTTCTTTTAATAGGTGAAATCAATTTGGTCCATTTTGAATGGAAAATCACTGTGTTGAATAGGTAAATCATCGAAGTAAATGATTATGAACGGCCCATTTCCCATAGCTATCTATGTTATATCACCAGAGTGCAATTTGATTGATAAATGGTAAGAACGTGGAGCAAGATAGGTTGAGATAATCAGTTACAATAATATTCTTGATAAAATGGATTGGATGATTAATAATTAGGTTGATACTGGTTGACTGAATGGTGGACTGAATGGTTGATGTTACTGGATATCCAGGGGTTTTCACACATGATTTAACAATGGATTAAATGGTTGATTGTACCTGATAATGATTTAAGTGAACAAGCAAAAGCATTGAACAGTAATTTACAAACATTTTAGGAACCCAACCAAGCATGACCAAACATGGGTTCTTCATATTCATTCATATACCAACTTGTCAGATTACTTACATTGATCACGTACCACATGTGGTTTTATGTACATACAAGTTTGACGATATGATCTACAAACATGGGTTCAGATGATTTATCCAGCACGGGACCTCGTACCAGGTTACCAAGGATATAAATTGTCAAACATATGAAATGGTCAATCTGAAATATCAAGCACGGAATGTTGAATGGTTTGCATAATTGAAGATATATTTGTTTAGATTTTGTGTGACTGTCCAAACACAAATTCATCTACCGATCATCAGATAGCATCAGTATAATCCTATCACCTGAAGATTGGATGAGGGGTGTCCCATCAAAAATGATGCATTGTCAAAAGGGATCAAAAGGAGATATGCAGCGAATGATGTGTGTACAGTATGTACGTATATATATACACACAATTCCCCTACTGAGTGAGGCGGGATCTCCAATTATTGGATCCAAGATGAGGAGAAAGTGTTTAGGGGGGGCACTTGGTATTGAGGGGACTGCTATGTGGGACGATGTAGCAAGAATGATGCTTTACCAGCGCTACAGATAAATGATTTTTGTAATGAGGGAACCATGGCAGCTATGGCAATAAATCACCAAACTTTTGAATCAGAGAGAGAGAGAGAGAGAGAGAGCTATGGACATATAATGATAATGACATATATATATATATATACATACATATATATATATTGCATTGTGTGCCCCTGGTAATCTCGCCTGGCAACTATGTTCTGCAACATGCCACTTCAATCTAAGAATTGGATACAATCGATGTCGGACCAACAAGCCGATGTCGGTGGAAGGCCTGGTTGTTGCAGAACACATTGGATTGGCTCCGTCACTTGAGCTACGGTGAAGGGTTGTGTCCATATTCACAACTCCGAAGTTGGGATTTCGCATTTTCTGCCCTGGTTCAAGAGAACATCTACTTCGGAAAGCCATGTTTTTGGATGGTCAACGGGTAAACCTCTGGTTCCCCCAATGTTCCCTAAAATCCGTATCCTGTGAGACTCATCTCATATCCTCATGATGGGCTCCTGCAACGTAGTACTGCCTGATTATGTTTGTTGGTTTCAAAGCCCATCCAGTGATATATTTGCCATATAGTCAACCTAGTCCAAAAGTGTTTCAATTATAAAACAAACATATCAACTAGCTAACTATATGGCACCACCTTGTAAATAGTTAATTTCATCTTAATGATTTCTTATTATAACATATGATAATAATAATAATAACCCACTATTTCCCATGGGTACCAACTGCAAAACCTCCATTTTTGTACCTCGAATTTTGCGCCAGGTGGCAGGGCCAGTCCCGGTAGCGCGGGGAACACGGCGCCGGTGGCGCCAGCCGTGTTTCCAGCCACCATGGCCTACACCCTGCAGCTCTTGGAAGAGGAAGCTGGGAATGGACGATCCATGTGTATTGCCAGGGAATGTCATAGATATCTATGTGATTCTATATTTATTCTGTGTATATATCTTTATAGCAATAACAATAGTAGTAATAGTACATAAAGTGATAGTGATAGTGATAGTGATGATGACGATGATGATGATGTTGATGATGGTAATGATGGTGATGATGGTGATGATGATGATGATGGTGGTCGTGGTCGTGGTCGTGGTCGTGGTCGTGGTGGTTTTGTTTTTGTGGGTTTTGCATGAGCGAAAGGATTTTCCATGGATTTGCCATCGCCATGTTTCTGTACTTGGAGGGCACTGTATCCAGAAAGGTTCGGTAAGGACGAAACTTGACACATCCCACCTTTCTACAGCAGGTGATAGGGGATGAAAGCGCTTTCACACAACGTTAGAGTTATGCTAGTATATATATATATATACTAATCATCCAGATACAAGAACACATCATGAGAGGCTCATGTTTTTCAACAACTCGTATTTTTTAGTATATGTTTTTTTTGAAGAACAAAGGTACACATTTCAAAACAGAATGATCAAACCAAAAGTGGTGTCGCGTTTCCGGCGTCGCGTCGCAGGAAGGTGGGACCTTAGCCTATTTGGATTCGATCGGTTTTGGCCCTTGGGTTTTTGTGATTGGGAAGCGAGTTGAAGCTTGAGGAACCTTCAGTATTTTGCATTATATATATAGTTCATTATCTATATATATATATTATATTATACTATATATTTTGTATTTTATATATTTTTATTATATTTCATATATTATATATTTTGTATTTTATATATTATTTACTATATTTCATGTATTAAATATTTTATTTTTTATATTATATATTATATGTTATATTTTATATATTATCTATTATCTATTATCTATTTTATATATTGTATGTCATATATTATATATTATATATTATATTATATACAGTATATGTAGATAGCATATACAGTATATATATTTATATATATATATAATAATACTGAATGTAATTGGATGGAATACCTACAGCCTTACCAGAATTTCAAAATCATGCCTCGAAGCTGCCAGCTGCAACATTTCGAATAAATTCAAAAACCATGATGCGATGTGTTGAACGTTCCATAAATCCAAAACAGACACTATGGAATGCTCGGGGTCACTCCAGTCCACCAGAAATGCTCAGGGTTCCCGGCTCCTGGGTGGATTTTCAGGGTTCATCCCCCTTGGATGGTCTCCACTTCTGGTTCGTTACCTTCTTGTCAACAGCCACTTCTATCTGATTCCACATCTGTTTATTTGTGACTAATTAAATTCCTTTTGATGATCGATCTACCATTGATTCACAAGGCATTCCCACCCCAGATCAACAACATGTCCAATCTCACCCTCTAGCCATGTAGAAAATTTCAACAAACCAGTTGGTTGATGACAATAGTTTATTAGGATATCTTAGGATTGTCATCATACATCATCATATATCATCATCACCTCTGGCAACCTCCATTCACAAACCAGGTTTTTCAGGGATTTTTCCATTGTTTTTCCCTAGGTGTGAGTTCCACTGCTACAGCTCTTGCGTTGCGCTTTGAGGCCCCGAGGATGTCCAAAAGCTTCGCAAGATCCTCTTGGTCCAGGAGTGACGAGTCGCGTCCGCGGTGCCCCAGGAGCCGATGTCGAAAAGGGAAAAGGGATGAAAAGGGCGACCAGAAAGCTAGAAATTTAGATGTTGTATATAAACCGTATGTAATGGATTGCAATGGTATATATAATGGTATGGAATGGCATGTAATGGTATGTAATGGTATGTAATGCTACAAATGGTATGAAACAATATAAACATGCTGAGATCTCAGAGGGTATGATGATTGCAGATTGCTACGAGGACTATATGTCACTTATTTTTCGCCAATCCAGAGGGTTCTAAATGAAGGCAATTGACGAGTATTTGAGATTATTTGAGTATGATATAGTATAATAAGGGTTGAGCTGAGCGTCCTTGTAGGATTACGTCTGACAATCTTCCAGTAAACTGGGGTGAAGATGATAAGAGGCCGGCTTGGCAGGCAGATTTGATATCCCAACAATATCTTTAACTTGCTATCGTTGCTTGGGTTAGAGTTGACTCATATTTTTTTTTGCGGGTTGAACCGTCCTTTAGAACAGAACAGCTTCGAATATCTTCGATGTAACGTATCCATGTTTGGGAAAGTATCAAGTCTTCACTAACCGAGAATCGGGAATCACAGAAAACTCAACAACATTAAGGATCATCAGACCTGCATTCTTTGATGCCAATGTTCGAACAATTGGTGTATGTAAGGGACAATTGCACAGAATTTCAAAAGTGTCTAAATGGTTTCCTGCGAATTTACCACTGGAAATGCCTGTTTTTGCCCAATCAGAGGCTCAAGACCCGGGTCCTTTTCTTTATCGTCTTGGCAGGAGATCGTTGGGTCAACGTGCAGCTTGCAGGCATCATGACCAAGAGAAAGCGGGGGAGGATTAGGGGTTGCTTCAATTGGGATAATCTTTAGCTATCCCTTGGATTTAGCAATGTCTAAGCATCAACAACCATGGTGATTTAACCATTAACTAGGTGTATTACTGTAGCCAACAAAGTTCATTCATAGTCATAGGAGGCACAACACCAATCATAAATCATAACAATAATCATGCCAATCCCACGCCATGCCAGATGAGCGTCACCGCAACACACAGCGTCTCAGATAAAAGGTACGCAGACGCATTAACCACAAGATGAACAATTGAACATGTGGTTTGAAAGATGGTTTTAGCCTGGTTTTAGCTTTTTTGTGGGTATTCGTCAAGAACGTGTCTTGGTTGTGTTTAATATGAAGTGAACCATTTTGGAACATGTTTTTGGACCATCCCTCTGTACTGACTCGAATCTTCCCGGTATGTTGGGGACCTTGAAATTGTTGAGTATAAATTCAGTGGACCTGAACAATATTGGTCGCTCTTGAACGGTCACTTGGTACTTCAGATGCAAGTTTGGCCGTTTCTTTATAGTATGGGATCCAGGAAAAAAAAAACACGGCTTACATATTATACGTATAAATATAAACCATGAAGTGGAAGTCCCCCATTCTAAGAAACACCCGCTTGGCATTGTTTGTTCTGGGGAAGCACATTGGAGGGCAACTCGGGTGAGTTGGTACAGAGTGTGAACTCTCAAAACTCTCAAACATAAGTGGCAATCTCCCATACATTGCTGGGGTCCAACCACCACACCAGTTGGCGTCTCCCGAATCTCAGCGTTTGGGCTCAGAGATTGCCGACCTCCACTGCCTTGCCGCTATGCCACCTGGAGGTGCCACGTCAAAACTGCATTTTGAGCGAGAAAATGATGACAGGGCATCAAATTTTCAGGCACAGTCATTTGAGAGGTTGGAGAGCATGTTTGAAGGGGTCATTTTGAGTTTCTGGACTTTTTGTTAAGTGGCACCCAGAATCTTCAAGTTCGGGTCCCCAAGCAAACCATTTCCATGATTTTTTGGAGGACCGCGTTATGGATTGTGTTTTGATGATTTATCCACTGTGGTTTGGAGGTGGTGTTTCGATTACCTCCATCAACAGAGAGACCAACATCGATGAAATCATTGAAGAGGTGCTCGGGTGAAAGTATAAATGAAAGCGGGGGTGGAGCAAAAACAACAGCAGAAACCGGGAATAGAATGGGGCTATAACGGGGATGTCATTAACTATGGGGGAGTCCTTTTTTATTTGCCATTGGTAGAAACGATTGATATACGGCGTGTGTGTGTGTGTCTATATATATATATATACGCGATACATTTTGATGCAGCAGTTGTTGAAGATCATGTCAAGAACATCAATGGGAATGTTTGATCAGGATTCCATCGGCACAATATCTCCAGTATATCATGTCAACTTGATCCCGGTGGTATCCCGATTCGTTCTGATCTAAATTAGGTTGTCACTAACTTGAACATCAACGTGCTGTTTTCCCACAATAGAAACGTTGACAATAGTGATAAAATGAACATATGGATGTGAGTCCAGTTGCATTAAAACAGGGAAGTTGTAGATTGTTTGTTAGACGAACAGAGACGATACTGTTTGCAGTAGAAAGTTATTTATTTGTTCAAACTCTACCCTAGGTAAACAAGAATCTACAAATGGTAGTTTACTGGAGGGAACAATAAGATGTATAGATGTATGTACCTGTATAAACTACCAGTGGCTGGCATTGTCATTTTTTATGTTCATGCCTTGGATGATGATCCTCAATTAACTTCAATTAATGGGCAGGATACGGGATAGGATGAAAGCACCAATCAGATAATCCATGAGTTTGAATGTACGAAAACATGCACACAGTCTTGCAGAAGATCACAGAATATCATAGATTAAGATGACCATGTCTCTTTGCTTATCTTTCAAAAGTGGCCTTGCACGCAAAAATTGAAATTGAACTGGAACCACATCAGCAAGGCCATGCAAGGCCAGTTTGGAAGTTGGATCATCCCAGATGGTTGTTGAAAAATAGCCATGGTCATCATGGTCACTGGATGACTGGCATTTGCCCCATGACTTCGGGCTTTCTCAGATTTTCTCGTTCTGTAATTGACCATTCGATCATCCAAAATCAAAACATCACTGATCAATTGGATCGTCGTACCGGAGTCGTATCTGATTTTCGCATTTATTTAGTTATCCGTGTATATTATGTATATATCCGTACATATCCGTACATATCCGTACATATCCGTACAGATGTTTATACCTAGATCCTCCATTTGCCCACAACAATTGGTACATATTTGCCCATGATTCATGATGATTCTAGTACTTTAAACCTCCAAATGTTCTATGGATCAAGGTATACATCATGTATAGATATGATTATCCCCCAATTCAGATAGACCTGAGATTAGCCTGTGATCAGAAAACCGTAATCTTCCGCCACTAGGTCATGGCAGGGTTTGTATGTTAGGATGGTATATCATTTTCTGGTTGGTGGTTTCAAACATGCATTGTTTTTGTCACCCATACTTGGCATGATTGGTTAAATGTATTCCCGTCATGTAAACTAACATAGATGTTGAAAACTCTGCATTTTTTCCCTAGGGAAACGATGGTTTTTCCGCATCTATGTCATTTTTTTTTTCTCAGGATCATATTTTTGGGATAGGTTAAAACCGACGATCATAAATTCATTGGCCATGTTCTATAGCCATGCAACAAATAACCAGAGGGTCATTCGGGTCATCCCCATTTATATGATTTTATATCCATATTCCCAGACATTCCGATTTGTTTGATTGAAATCCCATTAAACACCATAAGATCCCATTAGAGTCCCATCTCCAGGTGCGGCGGCGCAAGGAGGCGGGAATGCCTCAGCTTGGCAAAGCGAGTCGCTGGGACGCTAGGGGAGAGATGGCTCGGTGAAAATGATGGGTCCCTGGATGGGTTGTGGAATGATGGATGTAGATGGATGTAGATGGATGTAGATGGGTGTAGATTGTACTGTATATTATTCATTATTTATATAACTACTTCATTGATCTTAATTGCTATAAGATTGTAATCTTCGCAGCCCGAAGTGTATCATGGGAATCATGGGACCAACTCTTTAGGATTTTACTTTCAAGGCTTACTTAGGGTTTCATGTCAGATTTAGGTGATATAATATATATATATATGTATATTACTGTATATAGGGTTTAGGGTTTTGTGTTTTGGAAACAAGTCTCGTCAGCCAAGTTGCCATTTCACCGACATACCAACATGCAAAAAACACTGGCCCTGCACAGCTAGAATCCACTTCGCCGAGCAGCACCCCCGTCCTGGCCGTACGCTAAAACCTGCAGCTAACACCGGCTAACATCTGCACGGCCTCAGGGTATCCAAGGTTAGTGTTCGACCATGGATCTAAAACGACTTCACAACATGTGATTTGTTTGTTTTACGAACCCCTTGGTAATCAAACATGGCAATGGGGACATCCCCTGTGAATGGAAGATTTCAATGGTAAATCGTCTGTAAATGTAAGATTGTAATGAAAAAAACACTTGTATAAATTGGGGGATTCTCCATTGTCATGTGCTATTGTATAGGATCTTCTTGCGAGATATCCTGATCTTGCGTAGGAAATAGCTGCCGGCTCAAACATACCCAATTGACTTGTTCAACAAGTCCACTATATAATTAACATAATCAGCATTAATCATCATTACACCATGCTTGGTTTGTTATACATTGTTTCAGCAATCACTCCAGCAACATGGCCAGAATGAGGACAGCAACACTTATTCACAGGGTAAGGCGCACCCCTAGATATATCTTCTATTAAGGGCATGGACATGCCTAAGAGATCACCCTGCTTAATGATATGCTGGTTTGGTATGGTGATGGATTCCCCACGGAACAAACACATATTTAAAGTATTTTAAAGTATCACCTGGCTACTTACCTGGCTATTTCCGAGATATCCGAATATACCGATTTTGTGTGTGGCTGATGCAAAAATGCCAAGGCATGGTGGACTATGAGTTGTGCAAAAAACGTGATGAACTTCAACGGAAGGTTCGACCTGAATTGGTCTTTGACTCACAGAGGCACATTCAGATGCTCGTTCGAAAGCGCGACCGAAGATTGGTAAGTTGCATATAACAATGGTAGAAAAACACGAACATTTGATGTTTCATCATTGTTTCATCATCATTTTCCCCAACAGAATTGTGAACTCGGGTGAATCATGGAGTCCAAACGCCAAAGCCATCCTACAGCCCCGTTTCATATCCGTAAAGAAACATTGGCTTTTGGTTGCAGCCTGATCTTGTTGGATCTTGTTGGTGTAATTTCGTTGTTTTTCATGTTTTTTCTTGGTTCCATGATGTTTAATCCCCACCCTTATCTTAAAATAATACCCTCTATTGGATTCCGTTGGATACTGAATCTCAGTTTTTGTTGCCTGCACTGTCTTGTTTGTCCCAATTGTTAACCAACGCCTCGCAAAGTTTTTGGGGAGGATTGGTCCTATGTGCCATGATCAAAAGATGGATTAGATACCCATATTTGTGGGACGGTCATCCTCCCGTTTCTAGGGATTGATATATTTATATATGCCCATGATGTATGGTATATTGATTCCCATTTTTCATGGAATGACCAGAGCCCACTAAGTCAGATCCCATGTAACTTATTGTAACTTGACGATGGCACTTCAGTCTGTCAAGGAAGATGCGGGCCAACCTCCAAGCTGATCCCAATTTTGATGTGATGCACAACCCATCCATCACCTTCAGCGATCACTCCACTAGCACGGTGGCGAAGAGCTGTGCAGGAGATGGGCGAAGAGCTGTGGCATTTTTTAAAGGGGAGATCATGGGATATGTAGCCAATAAATTCAAAAAAAGGGATGCAATGGAACTATCAATTGGTATAATTATTGGGATATAATCTAACAATATCTAACATATGTATATTTGCACACATATACATATATATATATATACATAATATAATAATATATATAATACGTATTATACACATATACAGTCTAATGTATATGTATGGGTTCGTCAAAAATGGAGGATTTACTTACCATCAAGTGATGGCATTCATGGGAAAATGAGGTTCAACGGGACCGGGAGAATGGAATGAATTGATGGAAAGCTCAGTCGAAACCTGGTCATGTCTGAAACACCATGAGATGAGGATGATCCATTTTTTCCAAATTTGATGTTCGAAAATCCATCACTTGAAATTTCGTTGCGGCTTGAATGTTGAACCAACCGCACACGACCCCATACGTCAAGGCTGTAGTCATGGTGTCCTGATTGTCCTGGAAAGACAAAATCTGATTCGGGGATGGTGGATGCGTCATGTAGGTTTCGTTGCTCGATCCCACTCTTGTGGCTTCAGCCTGCTGCTTATGTTTGTTGGTTACAGCATTATTTAAATTTAAAGTATACATCCATTTTGTTGTTGGCTAACATCCACTGTCGGTATATTTTGTAGTTGTCAATGTCCTTATGTAAAGTTTGGTCTCTACATCAGCACCTTGATATACATTTCCATCTGTCTTGCTGGTTGTGCGATGCAACCGTGACTCTTTCAGCAAATGTCGTCACGACAACAGAAGACTCACATATGCAAATATGTATATATATATATATTTGTTGTATATATATATATATTTGTTGTATAAAGATATATATATATATATTTACTGTGTAGATATATATATATATATACATACTGTGTATATATATATTTATTTACTGTGTATGTATGTATATATATATATTGTGTATAATATATATATATATGCTTGCTGTACATACATAGAGATGGATATCCATGCATAGATGATGCGAAACAGGACATATATTTCATGATCACCCTGGATCCAAAAAACAGATCGTGGCCCTCGGAACGTGTCCGGTTGGTGGTTCAGAGTTTACCGCAGGAAGTAGCACCTTTGTGGATCTTCTAAAGAAACAGTATGGCTGCTTGGATTCGAAGTGCCAGGGTTCTGGTGATGTTGACTTGATGCAGATGTTCTCATACCCTGATGGTAATATGGGCAATGTGGTAATGGAATGTTTCCGCTGTTTATCGATTTTTATTTGCCGTTGAAATTGACGAGTTTCTTCTCGGATCCCACTCTTCCCACAGCCTCTTTGTGCAGGTAGGAAGGTCTGAGTTCAAGGGTTTATGGGCCGGGCTCACTGGAAGATAGAATGCCACTACTATCCACTATGCTCACTATTCCTATGATACGGTGGGTGGAAGAAATCCTGCACCGCCTTGGATGGTTGAAACCCTATAAAGAATGGGATAAGCCACCTATCAACTGGTGCAGGATTTCTTCCATCCACGGTATCTTCCTGCTCATGGTGGTTCTAGAACAAACCCTTCCAGCTTGTCACATATCCTTTGCTGCATTCCTGCTGAGAAATATCCAGTAACATGAACCATATTCACTCTGACTTTAGCATATGAGGACTCCGATACCTTGAGGTACGCAATCATGTATGCGTGCGTTCTGTACGCGTGCATTTATACATATGTATGTGTATATATATATATATACATATTTACACGTATGTTTGGCTGTCTTGTTGCATCCTCAAAACTTTCGGCCTGTATATACCTGTAGTCATGATGCTACAGGATGGAGTGTCATCCATTTCCCAAGATGGTGAAGCCACATGAGGAAGACATGGATTCACAGTTTTTTTTTTATGCCCCCAAACAACGATACCAATTTTTTTAGCAGACACAAAGCCTGTAGCCATCCTACCTTTTTCTGCCCAGGCCAAGTTTGATGGAGGTCAAGCATGGTGAACTTGTTGTGGTGTTGGCGACGAAGCAATTGGGGATATCAGTGATATCATGAGAGTCTAACCATGCATCAGTCATGGGGATATCATGGGAATATGCGGGATCTGCATACGACCAGCAGATCAACAGTAAGATCTGAGAAATGTCTTGGTGCGGAGGGGTAAACCTCTAAAATGGCGTCTGGTTCTTGGGTGGGGTCTGAACCATTGGACTCTGGGGTTTCCCTATTTTCAGATAGACATATTTTAAATTATTTTAGTAGATATATCATTTATCTAAATTTCTCATTTCACCACCTATTATGTTTGTTTTATCAGATAACTTGATTCTCATACCTGTGTACAGACGCAATATTATGGAATATTGGTGACACATCAGAGTGCCGATTTGATTTGCTTTGGAGCCTTCCATCTACCAGACTTCACCGTATTCATCGCTACCCTGCACAGTTTAATCTGCAGCCGTTTATATGAAGGCTCTTGACTAGGGGGTTCAGTTACGGCTATAATTGTGTTCAACCATGGTAAGAATCTCCATAAGTTGGCATATGCTCCAAACGACGTTCGAAAAATCCACTCACAGGAACTGCACCCGGAAGGACGGGCCACGCATTTCAACAGGCTCTTTTCCTTACGCTATTTTGAGCCAAGGAGATGCGTTTCTAGAGCATTTGTAGGTGCTTCAAAAACCACAAGGGCCATATCAGGATGTCAGTGATTTTCCAGAAGATCTAGGTGTTCAAACAATGATATAACATCATTGAGAGTTTGTTGGAATGTGAAGGCTTGCCTTCTCAACTTTCTACGTCAAGTCATTTTCTGGACAAAAAGTGGGCAGTTGAACACTCTTTCCAATGTGGTGTAGTGGAAAACAAACATCAACATCTCTAGAGAATGGCTTTCCCAGTTTGGAAGAAAAACAACCACGATTATAGCGGTGTTCAAGGGTTTGGACTCGAGTATTTTTTTCTCCAAAGAATGTGGTAAAGTAACTCAAGAGCTCCAGACATTGTCGTTGTTTTTTTACTGTTTAATCAATCCAATCATCACAATCATTTCCAACAAGCCTCATGTTTTTTCATCATGGAAACCAAATTGATTGGTAAATTTTGCTAAATAGGCCTTATTTTCGATCCAAATCCTTCCGTACTGCGCTCTCTGCCAGGTTTGGCTTGGGGTTTCTGAGCCGCACTTGATGACCAAGGCGACGTGAAACGTGCGCCGGTGATCATCGAGCACCTGATTGAGGTATTCTCCCAAGATCTCCCAAGAAAATCATGGAAGCCACGGATGGGGATGGGTTCAAACAGGTTAAAACACCATGATTTTCCCAGGGGGATGGGGATTTATATAAACGATTTAAACATATTTAAACATATTTAAACATTACTGGTTGGTGGTTTGGAACATGTTTTATTTTTCCATATGTCATCATCCCAACTGACTTTCATATTTTTCAAGATGGATAAAACCACCAACCAGTAAACATTATGGTGTTTATGGGTTGGATCAGCTATGGTAGCATCGGGCTTGACAAACATCCAGCAGCTATGTTGATGTTCACTGGGGTTCTGACCGTTTCTGACCCATAGTGAAATGAGTTTGGAAGACAAGGTTCCTGTTGGAAATGATATGACGTGTTTTTTTGTTCGGTTCCATTTTTGTTTCTGGGAGATAGAATAGTTTGAGTTGGTCTGACTTCAGTGAATTGGCGACCGTGACCCAAGAATTTATAGAGTTGTTTAGCCGTCAAACACATTTTTTTTCCATTTAGGTGTGTCTGAAAAATGTTGTATAATTACACAATATCACAGATATGATGGTAATTTAGAGCAAAAGATGATGAACCAGTGGATTTATATAGTGGTACCTTATTTTCAGACTAGCTTGAAGCCATTGGGACCTACAGCTTGGGTAACCAGCAACATCAGCGGTGAATTCCAGAGTTTCTACTTAGATGGGCCAGGGAGTGAGCTAAGTGGTTAGTAATTCCCTTGTAACTGGGTGTTGTGTTGGGTTGTTTTAGGTTATTCTCATTTATTTTCCACTTCACCACTTGACCGGCCCTCCCATCACGGCGGCTTTCCACAAGGATTTCTGTCGAAATTTGGTCAGCAGGATACCACTGATGTCAGCCCGACTGGACCAGCACACCCAAACTCCCAAGGAGAGAGGGGGTGAGCACGTGAAATTTGCCACAGCAAATGTGATCCGAATGACACGGCGCATCTGTCCAGCAGTCCATCGGAAAAAAAGGCTCAACGCAAGATGAATGAACATGAATGTCCATTGTGATGAACACGAATAAAGTGTCGGACTCTTAGCAGTCGGGTATTTATCACTCAAAAGCATTCACTCCAAACGCAGTCAGTGGGTTGGTGTCCCATTTTCGGTCGCAGCTTCGCCATGTTTGCAATCCACTTTCCATTGAATGATAGTTGAGCTTCCACAGGATGTGTTCCATTGAAACAGTGGTCTCTTTGTCTTCGTGTCCCTTTTTTGAGGCCTTTTCCAATCTAAAAAACGATGGTTCAACAACGCTCCGAAAACGATCTAAAATTGGTGTTGCTTACAACCATACTTCGGATTCAACAGTCAGTGTCAACTTGGAAGCAGGGCTGGGACTTGACCATGCATCACATTCAGTTCAGGGACATGCCGAGGTTTGCGTCGCAGCCTGCTGTGGCCATGAGGAAGTTCCCTGAGAGGAGGCCGAACAGTGCACCCAAATTTGGGACCCAAAAAAACATAGATGTTGGTCCACTTTCAGGGCTATTTTGGTCCATATCAATATGTAATCCATAATAGTTTTATATATATATATAATATAACAATAATAATGATAATAATAAATAATATTAATAATGTATAAGATAGAGAGAAGCAGAAGCTCATGCAGCTATAAATCATAAGTCAATTAGAGTTGGAAAGACTCCAGTCCTCATACTGGACGCACATGCTGGGTGTTGATTCATAGAGTTGCATGCCTCCCAGGGACGCCGCAAATCAACTCGTTGAAACTCCTTTAGGGACAGGACCTTGATTTTTTCAGCATCCCAGGCTTTGTTGGCAAATCTGAGAGAGATTACAATGTAGAAACAAGATGAAACAAGGCTGTTGGTAAAGGCTCAAAACGAATTTTAAATGGAATCATCCACTGTACATGGATTAAAGCCGCAGAGTCGAATGGATGGTTCCGGGATTATCCTTAAAGTAAACGGTGACAGGGCTGCAACATGTTATGACCCAGGGAATGTATGGGCGATCTATTAACCAAAATCTAATCCCATTCCCAGCGCTCAAAAAGAGATCCAGTACTTTGCACCAGATCTACTGAGCAATGGTCAAACGATGATATATATTTCTCGTAGGAGGGGATACTCATCCCTCCATGTTCATTGGGGTTTGATGGGGTGTTGTATATATATATATGAGATATATGGTTCTGTGTATATATGAACACATATAAATATACATATACATATATACATATACATATATACATATACATATACATATATATATATGTACATGTATAGTACTGGTACGTATACATACACATATACACATACATATATACAATCATATAAACATATGCATATGATGTATAAAACTATCTTTAACTTTACATGAATATACATATAAATATACGTTTACATTTATTATACATAAATTATACATATATATATATATATACATAGACATAGACACACACATGCACATCCACGTATATATATATATATACAGAAACGCGCATACACGCATACACGCATACACGCATATACGCATCCGTACATACACACATACACATACACACACATACACATACACACACATACACACACATACACGCACACACACACACATACACACACATACACACATACACACGTACGTACGTATGGAACAGTTTAGCAACATGTATTCAAAATGGCTCAGTATCCTAGGTAAATCTACCCCATACATGGAGCATATGGGATACATTGACCCTTCCTTCAAGTGGCATTATGGCATAGATCCAGACAAATAGGGGGTTTAGAATACTACAAAATCTATAAAAATCCTCTTGACATTGATTCCAGGGTGTATGTTTATCTTAGGGGAGCAACTCTACGGATCACAAAGTTGCTCGTTGCTTTCCGCAAACCGAACCTCGAAGTCTTCGGAGGTACCAAGCTGGACATCCAGGGCAGCGTGAGGATGCGGTGTCGGAAAATGGTGATTGACCATTGGGGACCATGGGTTTTGGAAGTATCCAATTTTGACACACACACACACATGGGATCACATGGGTTTGTTTGCGAATAGTACACGTCAAACACACACCTCATGACATACTGAGAAGACACATTCATGGAAGATTCTGCACACACATGCTGGATCCAGAACATTTATAGCCGTTTAATTACCGTGCTTGAATTTCAAGTATTGAATGCGATGAGTTTGATTGTATATATATCCTATTTTTCACCCGTATCACTTGATATGATCATTCACAATCAGTCTATGATGTCTATGATTATAATCATATTACTATACAATGAAAGGACCCTGGAGTCTGGGTCGATGGGTCGATGCTTGCTACCCTTCAGCTGCAACGTGGACCTACGTGGAGGCTTCAACATGTTGCATCGATCAGAGCAAGGGGCTGGGCCTCGCTGAGTTGGAGGTCAGCTGGGTGATATCGATTGGAAATGGTTGAAACATGGATGGGGATGGAAGATTGGTTTTCACTAACAATTGGTGCTTTTCAGGGTCGAACTGTTAATTTACCCGAGCTATAGTAGGTGGGATTCTTATTGGGTATGCTGGTCGAGGTGAATGTTACTTTTTTTGATGGTCGAGGTTGCTTACTGGGATGAATTTGGTTGGTTAATTTTGATATTTTGGTATGGAAGCTTGATTCAAAAGCATGTCGGTTAAACCCACAAAAGGGGATACCCAAAAACTATCCCAAACTGCAGTTTTTATATGGATAATGAATGGACATTATGTTAAACCATTGGATTTGGGGGTATACATGGGTATACTATGTTCAGACAAATCCATCTTTGTATATAAATATCTATGTCGATCTCAATTATTGGGATATTGATGGATTTTTCTTTCGGCGGGCTCTTAATGTGAAATAAACATAAATAAACATGTAAACCAAGAGTAACCTGCAAGAAATTGGAGGTTGATAGTAGAACACAATAACCACCTAAGGGCAAATGGTAGGCCCAGCTAAGGTTAATGGTGTAATTGTGCAGTTTTATAGGTTTTATGGAGAACGATTCGTTTTTCTGGTTGGATATAGCTAGTGTTTTTTGTTTTTGTTTTTTTTTTCCGGTACCCAAACTTAGCCATGAAAAGCAGATAAATGGTCAACCAACGACAACTGACCGCATGGGTTGATAGTGGCCATTGTCAGTCCTTTGGCTGTTCCCCTCCATCAAATGAATAGTTTCAAAATGTTTTAAGAGTAAATCGTTGTTCTGTTTGTTACCCTCTCTGCCAGAGAGGGGTTGGAAGATTGGTTTTCACTAACAATTGGATACAATTGGTGCTTTTCAGGGTCGAACTGTTAATTTACCCGAGGGTAGTAGGTGGGATTCTTGCTGCTTCATGCCTAGCATCAAGCACTCCAGGTACTCGCTGAGAACATTGAAGATGTCTCAGGCTTCCCGTCGGATCATCATTGTTCTGACACCTGGGCCTACAGATTCTGAGGGGTTTCCATAAATGGGGTATCCGCAATAGCTGGATGGTTTAGAATGGAAAGTCCTAATAAAAATGGATGATTCAATATGTTTTAGGGGTACCCCCAATTTAGGAAACCTCCATTTTGGGGATGAGTTAAAACCTATGATATTTGGGGGATGAACATCGATTTACCAGCAATTTTGGGGACAAAAAGGATACCAGGGTTTTGAACCATACTCACGTTGATGGATGCAATATTTGCTGTTTTGGGACGGAATTATTGGTTGTAGGAAGAAGGGACTTTGTTTAACAGGTACGGCAGAAGAGGGCCCCGTGGACTTTGACTGTATATCAATTGACACATTCAATAATGAACACCATGTACAGGGGTTGCCGTACTGAATCAAAGCAACATATATCAAAAACAATGTACCGCTTGGTCCCCCGGCTGCGGGAAACAGCCATCTAATGTCCTCTATCCATCATGTTCGCATTCGCTGGTTTTTACCGTGTGTTTGTATGAAACTAGCAAAAGTTGCCCACTTCTTGTGGTCCCTAGAGTCACTAGAGGCCTGCAAGTGTGCTGCTGTCTACATAAATGATCACAGGACCTATAGATACTT